CTGAAGGGTGGTTTGATCAAATAAAAGTGTTACGATTTATTTAATTTGGAATACTTAATTTTAAAAAAATTCATGTCCTTTTTTTTCCATATATTTTCCATTTATTTTAGATTAATTTTGACAAAAGTTGAGGAGAAATAATAGTGTAGTTTCCAAGAGTTTATTCTTAACAATTTTTTTTTTCATTTTCGGTAATGGTGTGATTTTTTTTCTAAATGATAAATTCATGTCCTTAAATAGGATAACATTAAAGAATGTAGAAAAAGCTGAGATGTAGAAATTTGATACGCAACATTTGATAGGGTTTTCGATGCTTTTTTTTTGCAAATGTTTTTAATTTTTTTTTTTTTACTTATATTAAGGATAATTAGGTATCCTTTGAAAATTTTGTCGCCTTTTGAGGCAAAAGAAAAAAATTCGTTAATAGTTCTAATTTTTAAATAAAGTGTAGTTGAATTTTTGTGTTGTTTTTAGAAAGGGTAAAAAAATTGAAATAATTTTTACGTAAATTAAGTTAAAAGCATTTTTTGTTCTTGATTTGTGTACGAGATTTTGTTTAATAGGATTTAAAAGGATTTTTGTTTAATAGGATTTTTGTTTAAAAGGATATAATAAGTTTACAGGAGGGGGTGCTGTAAGGAACAGTGAAATCGTAATTGAACAGTTTCATAATCTTAGTCTTGCGCTAGGACAATTAAACTGATTCCTTGCAATGAATACGTTGGATAATTTTCATATTAGATTGTAGATTGCAAAGAAGGGGTAATAGTGTACCGCGACCAGAAAATATAGATCTATTTTGCCCCTCAAGTAGGTATGAGACGAAGCCCTACAACATCTCCCTCAAGACACACCCTCCTGATGAACGCGAGCAGCTTTGAAGGCCCGGCAGGAAGCTGGAGTGAGCACATAATTCTCTATTAAAGTGAAGCTCGTTATAAAAAAGGGATAAAAGCCGCGTCGTATTTTTATTATTCGCTTATCCAAAGCTTTATACTCGTACATTCAATAGTTTTTGTTTCAATAAATTTTGAGTCATTCAAATTAATTTTAAATTTTATGTAATTATTATCAATTTACCGGACCCTTTTGAAATATTTAAAAGTTTTCTGAACCAAGAGCAAAGTTAATTTTCAATTTTTTCAATTAATCAAAGTTTTTTTTTTCTATTCGATTATGAAGAAAAAAAAAACAAAAATTGATTAACGTTCTTTAGCAAATGAAATTGGCCTTTTGTTCTTAACCTTCTGTTAAGGGAATAAAGTTGCTAATAGAAGGAAAAAAGTTTTCAAAGAAAATTTTATAAAAGAATTTTAAAACAATGAATTGATCCGAAAGTAAAAAGAATTTTCTCTTTTTTTTATTTTCGTAATTTGAACTTATTAACTTTAATATTGCTATAAAAACAAAGGTTTGAATTAAAATTTTCTGTAATATTTAACTTTCAAAAACTAGTAATAAATAAGGCCGTCCGTTTTGAATTACCGTAGATAGTGGTCTGTAATTTAAAATCTTAAACGATTTGGGAAATTTTTGGGATTCCAGTTAATTATGACACTATCACTGCCTTAGGGAACACCACCTTAGTGAAACTATTTCAAGTAATACCCATAAAAATTCAAAATTAATTTTATATCTTATCAAGAAGTACTAGGACTTCAATACGGGAGTTTTGTCGTATAACTTAGACAATATTCATGCTTAATTGAAATTTAAGTGAAGTGTTCCACAATAAAAATTATGTAGCAATTTTTTAACAACCGGTGACTGAAATCGTGTTGGTAGTTCTCGTGCTACTTTTAACAAACAATTTGCTTCTACAAGTGCTCCTTTTAAACAAAATTTCAACAACTTCGAACCAAAATGTTTTCTGCAGAATGAGTCTCTTGCTCTCTTTTTATACAAATACTTAATGTTTATGTACTATTGTTAGTGTCGTCTTTAAGTAAAATATAAAGTTCGATATAGAGTTACATGGAAGGTCACTGGAATTTTATCAACTTTAATGATCAAATTTCAAACAAATTTATTAGAGGGATGAACCCTTTTTCACTATACTATGTTTTTGAAAGACCCACGTTATCTTTTCTCTTTTCATCGTATAAAATTATTATTTAAGTGTTCCATGAACTTCTTTTCTTTAATATTTTTTCATTTCGCTGTTGTTTCTTTTTCTAATTTTTGATATCATTGCTCCTATTTTAGGCATATAAGAATCCAATTTTGTTGTTGAGCATTTTTCATTTTATTTTCTTTTTTTGTTGTAAAATTTTATTTGAATAAGAATTCCTTTTTTAACGGTATTAAGGATTTTATGAATTATATTCGATTTTTTTTTTATTTTTCTTGTTATTTTTGTTATTTTCTCATAGTTTAATGTTCCCTTCTCTAAAGAGAAAAAATAAAACGAAAAGAAATAAATTATTTCTTTTATTTTTTTTCGGTACCTTTCGCCTTTCTTTCCTTTGGCTGTTTTTTCTCTCAACTTTTTAAAAAAGATTTAGGGTTTAATTACTTCTTAATGTCTTTCTTGGCAAGGTAATTTACTTTTTCTCCGCGTTAGTTTATATTTTCTCATCTCTTTTCTTTTCTCTTCTCTTTTCCATTTCTATTCTTTTTTGTTGCTTCAAGAAAGAGGAGAAAGCAAGTAGTAGGAGAGAAATTTTGTTTTCATCGATGAAATAGAATATTTTGAACTTAAAGGAAGTCAAGAATGTTACTTTCCGATCTAAGTAGGCACAGTATTAATTGTGGTGTGGCTGTAAGTATGTATATCGGAGGTAATTTGACGTATTGTGTTACTGTGATAAATTTTTATTAAATATTAAATTTTTTATTAACTGTAGTATGGAAACTGTAGGAGGAAAGTTTAATTGACTGTTTTAAATAATAAATAGGGAAAATTCTTTAAAAAAAAAAAATTTGACGGAAAAGTCAAAAACCTATTACATGTCTTTTAAATTTTTTTAACTTTATTACGTGTAATCTGAAAAGGTAATATGATTTTAAAGAATGTGTTAAGCCTATAAGTTTAGACTAGGGAAGAAAGGGTAGCATTTTTTTTCATCAGAGTTGCCCTATTTTTTACTTATTTGAACAAAAATTTTCTAAAATTTAATTTTTTTTTATGATTTGCCATTAGTTTATAATTGAAATGGTGCCGTGGAATTCATCATGAGAAACATGGTTTAAGATATTTTAAAAATTACAATATCTTGTACAATAGATTAGGAGAAAGCTCAGCATTGTCCTAGAATTTAAAAGTAGCAGCATTCATTTATAATTGAATTTTAAAAGTTCAATTCAACCCAGGTTGTACCTTACTAGTTTTATCACTAAATGTTCAATTACATTTTGTTCTTATTTATGATTTTATGAGATTCTACGGCTGACTTCATTGGAAATGGTTTATAAGAAACCATATTTTGCTGATAATTAGGGAAAAACTCAAATAATTTTTCATAAGAACAAAACAACATTAAAATATAAGAGTCTCAGCAAAATACATGGAAATTTTAAGGACAAAATCTCTAATATTGCGTAATAAAGTCGTAGAGTTCAAAACTTTTAAAATAAATATTTTTTCTGCTTTTTGTTTTGTATTTCAATATGTTCCTAATAACCAAAACCTACAAATTTCATGGTAATTTTCAAGATAAATAAAATTTTTATTTAAAATTCTTTTTAATACCCATAAAGTTTTAGAAAAATGGCAATTTAAAAATAATCGTTTTTTTGTTCTTCTTTTCTTGTATTTTTGGTTTATTTTTTTTCAAGGAAATTCTTTTGATGTTGTAATATTTTGCGAAAACAAACAAAATAAAAAGAAAAAGAAGAAAAAAATCAATATTTTATTTACGAACTTTACTCTTAGATTATCCTTAAAATAAATTAGTCCTTAAATTCCATTTATTTTTATTTTTTATATGTCTTGTTTTAAGTACACATAATTTAGATAAAAACGCTTTGTAGAACTCATTTAGAAAAAATCAGAAAAAAAAAAATACAAATAAATTCGAATAATGGTTTGTAAAGTAGCGAATTTCCTTTGAACAAGGGAACTTCCAGCGTTAAGAAGGTGGAAAAAAAAGTTTAAACGAATTATTTATTAGAGTCTAGCCTAGAAACTGTTTATATTTCAAATTCTTACGTCTCGCCGTATAAGAGAGAAATTTTGTTAAGAATTTGAAAAAACGAACCCAAGAAAGCAGTTAATTTGAATGGTAATATTCTCATTGCAAGGTAGAATAGGGCGAAATATCGCAAACGAATTATTTTTACGTTTTGCAGGATATCAAAAATGTTTCTGTTTTTATGAATTTTCGGTAGCCATTAGTTTTAGAGCGAGGGAGAGCGACGTAAAAGTTTTCTTCTAAAGAAACAAATTTATCAACACAAGATCAATTTTTGTTTGAAATTTCAAATTTTTCTCTTAAAAGATGTAGAAGTTTTGGAAAGAGGCGCAAGAACGGACTGGTGGACAAAGTAAAACTTATTCATTAACACATTTTTTTCCTCGATTTATTTGCAAATGTACTAAAAATGGATTTAAGTAAAAGATATTCTACCGTTATTCATAATTATTTGAAAGTAAAATTTTCCAAAAAAAATTCAAAAAAGAATCCTTGAATTTCTTTAAAAGTGTTTTATTTTTAATTTCACTATGAAATGCTCAAAGGCATGAATTTTTATTTAATGTTCTTTACAAAGATGCCTAAAAACACCTTTTTGAATTTAAATTGAAATTTTAAAATGCTTTTTATTTTAATTTTTTTTTTGCTGCTTTATAATTAGTTTGGTTCAGTATATTGTTCGTACCTAATGATTTATGAATTGTAGAGTAGGGTTTCTTTACTCAATTATATTTAAATTACAGAAGTTCTAGATAAGATACAAATAGCTCATAATTTATAAATTCATAATTAAGTTCGAAAATTAAATTGTTCATTACGATTTGCTTAAATAATCTCGACTTGTTATATATTAAAAAAATGACATACCTGACATTCGGTTGGCCATCTGGCGGCCTGCTGTGCACAGTCATTTGAACTATCCTTAGACAGGGCGAATAGATCTCTTGGTTCTTTTAATCTAGCTATTGGTCTTAAGGTTTTTTCATCAGTATTGACCTCCAGTTGATTTGTTTTTAAATTTTTTGATAGAAAACTACCAAGAAATCCTAGAAATAAAGAAAAAATTTAAAAGTATAAAATATTTTACAAATAAACAGTATTTTTTTTCAGATTTTTTAATGTTAACTATACGTTTCTAGTTTATTTTATTCGCCAAACAATAGTTTACTGGCTAACACTAGATACTCGTATGCGTAAGCCAAAGTTGAAATGAGCAAGAAAACAGATAAAGCGGTAGAATTTTTTCCGTTTTATGATAATAAAGAAATGGACTTCGCAATTCATATTTTTTGTGCTCTACAGAATAGTGAATTCCGTATGGCCATAGTAGCGAATCTTATTTGCATTTCAACTGAACGAGCTTGTTAATAAAAAAAAGGGTTCTGGTAGCAATTTATTTCACGTTCTGGATATGTCTAAAACCGCCGAAATCATGCAGTTTTTTGTCTCTATATCATTGTTTTTTTTAAAAAATACATGAAGTCTGGCATTTGTGTTGACAATTCGTCATCAATCAGACACTTCGAAACAATGTTGAATTGGTAGTCGGTGATATTTCGCGTTCCTGGAATGGAACTTTGATTTTGACGTCTACTTGAATAAAATCGTATTCAAAGAGTGAATGAAAACGATTGATTTAGAGAAATTTTTCGTATGTTCCTGTAAATTTAAAAAACTGAAATGATTATGAAAACATTTCTTGCGCTCCTCGTATAAGTTTAGTCTAGCAATAATTTCAGTACAAAATTGTTGTATCTATGCAACATTTACCCAATTGCTGGTCACGACAAAGAAAAAAACTAGCCACCAGACTCAGATAATCCATTCATTATTCTTTTATAATAATTTTAAAAGTATCTACTATTTTAACCAACATTTCTATTTTTTTGCCCCATAATGCGTCAATATTAATTTTTGTATAAGCCGAATTTCTTTGCAATTCTTTTCAACTACAATATCGGAGACTTCAAAAGGAAGAAAAAAATTTTATTCACTGATCTGAAATTAATTAATTTTATCGTTTAGAAAATATTGCAATTTTAAGAGTATTAATGATAAAAGCAGACATTAAACAAGTCTGAAGCATGTAATCAAGCTTGAATGATTCTATAAAAAAAGAAAGAAGCACAAATAAAATTGTTTGATATTGATTGAATTGGGTAAAATAATTATGTGAATTTAATTTTCATAAAGGAGAGGCGCGTGGTAGAATAATAAAGAAGATTAAAAAAGTTATACAAAATTATTGAAATGATAAAATAAAATGAAAATATGAAAATTTTAATAAAAAGAGAAAAATCAGCTGCATATTATTTTTTCATTTTATAAAAATTTTTATTTCAAAAATATTTTTTCATGTTATTATAATCGTGCATAAAATTCATAAAAACAAAAAACGCAATGCAGTATTGTTGCCTTTCAATCACTTCTTTCTGTTCTTTCTTTTATCCTCCATACTTGTATATTATGGGCGTACCAAAATTGTACATCAATTCAAAATGTTTTTTATTTTTTTAAAATTTAAAATATTTGCAATACAGTGGAAACTGTTTAATGCCAAAATTTTACAATTACAATTTTGTAACAAAAGTATATCGAGTGGAAAATTTGGAAGTTTTGCACAAAAATTGTGTCAAATGAGTAATATAAAATTGAAGTTACAAGCGTTTCTTTTAAAGAGAAGAATTTTTATTGAAGAGATAAATAAGAGATTAATTTATTGTGTTAAGTAATTTGAGTTGAGAATTTTGAAGTCTTTCTAAGCGTGCAGTTTTTACTAATCGGGTGAGAAGAAATATCAATTTGAAATTCTTGTTTACTCATTTTATATTTCTTATTTTGTCTCAACAGTCAAATGATATTTCCACTCATGGTGTGAAATATTAAATAATTTCACAATATGTGGAATGTTGTGGCAATGTTAGCACCAAAAACATAATAATTTTATTGGATTCTTTCTTCGGTTTTGGTCAAGTCGTTCGGGCGTACTCTTTCAACATCTAATCTCTTTATTTCTGTCATATGCTTTTTTACAGGATCTTCTCTACACTTCTATTACCGGACTGGAGCTTGACTATCGACTTCAGTACTTGGTGGGTTAATGTTTTTATTAATCTCCAATTTAAAGCAGTAGACCAATAATCATCCCTGATTTTTAACGACCGCATTATATACAATGGGGTAGGTTATGTGATTGCACCAAATTTTGTATGTCGAGTTTTCAGTGGGAACGCAGTTCTTCATAGTAGGGAAATGCAAATACACTATTTTTAGAGAGATGTCGGTATTTTAGAGAGATGTCGGTCTGTGTGTGCAATCTAACATGTCAAGCTCCGCTGTAACACTTTCAATAAACTAAACAATACAATGCGGTCGGTTATTTGCTGACTACATCAGATTTTATTAATTATACGACTTCCTTATGAAGGAATCAAATAATAATTTGTGCTCTATATTCTGTAATTTTGTTGCTTTTACCTTTAATGATTTTACATTTTTATCACATTTATAAATGTAAATATTTTTAATGAAAATATCTGTAATAAGCTTTTGTTAAATACGAGTACATTTGGACATTTTATTTTCCATAATAAGAGAAAATTAATTTGAAATGAAAATTAATTTTCAAAAAAAAAAAAATATGAAAATGTAATATAAAAGAATAACGTAAAATATTTGATCAGTAGTCAGAAATCAATAGTAAATTTGTAAAAAAAAAAAGGATAATAATATTTAAATGAGAACAGGATTTATTTTTAACATTCATTGTGCATATTACATGCTATTTACGTACTTATGTACGAGTATATTATAAAATTAGTGTATTTTATTTATAGTTAACATTTATGATAATTTCATTTTAATGTAAACATGTGTGCAACAAGTTCCCAGAATAAACAAGAAATATATATATATACAAACAGAATGTTAAAATGTGTGTACGTAACGTACATAATATAGTTGTCAATTTTTAACAAGTTTTATTCGGGAGGGAAGAGTAAGACATCGGGTAAATATATTTTTGTAATATATGGGGGAAATAAGAGCATATGTATAAAAATTATGTTTTGTTTTGGGAATAAGGGTAGCTAGTATGCGTGTACTTCTGTTTTAACATAAAGAGGTTTCTTTTTTTCCCGTTTTTGTTATTTTGCCTTTCTGTTTTTGACATATAGTTATTTTTATGTTTCAACCATTATTTTAATTTGTTAAAAATTTTAACAGATTATTTTTTGACATTTATTGTAGGTCGATATTTGGTTATTTTCTTCCACTTTTTATTCGGGGGGGAAGAGGAATTTTTGTGAATTTTATTTATAATTTTGTGAATGGTTTTATTTCTCATTTCATTTAATTTATTTAAGCGGTTTTTAAAAATTATCTGTGTTAATGTTAAAATTTAAGCATCTCGAATTGCAAAAAATTGTAAGCAAATGAACGCTTAAAGCAATTTTAAAAAATGCACTCATTTAATTAAAAGATAATTGTAATTAAAAATAATTAAGTTTTTGACAATTTTAAAATATTTCGAAAACAATTACTCTTAAATCTAACGACCAAAAATAATTTGATGTTACAATTGGACTCTACATTAAGATAAAATAAAAATTAACTGTTAACTGTTGAGGATTTCAAATAACTTAGAAATATTAGTTACTAACAAATTTAGAGTATGTCAGTGTGTTTGTCAGTGTGTTTGTATTCCTCTAGTCCCCAATAATAAATTAATTTTAATTTTCGTCAATTTTCTCTTGGTTTGTACATCCGATTTGATTCTGAATTTAGCATATTCTAAGTTGATATTTTCCGTAGGCAACTCATATTTTATTTGTTCTTAGTGTTAAAATTTGTTTTAAAATTTTACTAGTAATGAAATTTCTATATATGTGCATATGTATGTCACCAAATTTATTTTCCAAAAATTTTGCATTCGAATAATTTTAGGTTTAGTGTTTGCTTTAAATCTTTTGTGATTTCCAACCAGGTTATTCATTTTACCGAATATTTTTAAAAATGAAATTTTCATCTCTTATTTTTTTCTTTTTATCCGTATACTGTTTTTAAAGTTAAAAACGAGTCCGAAAGCAGAAAAATAAAAATAATAATCCGACTTTGATTGAAAATGATTTCCAGTAGTTTTTAGGCGGATGCTCTATCAACTGCACTGAAGTTTAAAAAAATATTAAAAAATTGTTGGTAATAAATTTTATGAACATTTCAGGGGCTTTACTATGTAACTAGATTTCCGCATTTGCAGAGATTGCCATACAAATTGATTGGTACTACTTTATTATTGTTCCAAATACAAAATTCGTTTTAAAAAAATCGGATTACGTAGTAAGGCTCAGTCATTGAGAATTAATAATTTTTGATAAACCAAAATTTGCATATTCTTATATTAATAGAAATTGTTTCATTTAATATACCAAAATTTCCTCAAACAATCCTCTTATTATTTCTTAACAAATTTCCAAGTAATTTTCATTTTAAAGTAAATAAAAGGGATTTAGTATAAATTATGAAAATTAAATTTATAAGAAACTTTTCTCGTCATAATTCTAAAAAATTTCAATAATTATAAAATTAAATATTAATTTAAATATTTTATATATGTGGCCCCCAAATGTAAAAAATATTTACCTTAAAAATTCGCACAAAAAAAATTCCTATTTAAAGATTGTTGAACTTAAAAATTTTTTAATTTGACTTCAAATAAATTTTCTTCTGCTTAAAATTTAAACTATTTTGTCTTACAATTACAAAAATTTTTTATATGTACGTAAAACATATAAAAAAGGCAATAAGGCACACAGAAACCTGTTAGCACAATCACTTCAAATTTATTTTTATTTTTACTTTTGAAATTTTTTAAATTTTCACTTTTATTGTAATTTTTTTCTTCTTATTTTTTTTTTAATTACTCTGCTCTATATTTTTCTATAATCAATTGAAAAAAGAAAAGCAATTACTTTTCGAAAAAATAAAATTTTAATTAATTTTTTTGAAAACACACTTTTTTCCGGCTTTCTATAGTGACAAATTCCCG